TGCCTTGAAACAGCAGAAAAGCAGACACAGTGTCCATCCCACTCCCAAGATATTAGATAATGGCTTGGGTATGATCAATAGCAATCAGATTAGCCAAAAATATAGCATGCACACGCACTGCCCTAATGGATCATTTCAGGATTGTACTTCACGTATTATAAACATGAAAATATTACAAATATGCATATGTGAAAATCTAAAGTACAACTTTTGGATTTAGGCAATCCCATATCAATGCAGTGCAGCTGACAACATTTTCTTAGTGTTAAATTAGATAAATCTCCCTGCACCCTCACTTTATTAGCCAAGCACATTTTACACAACTCTCAAGCCAACAACCTTCTGCAATTTAAGTATGATAGAGTACAAGAGAAGCAATGAGTATTGTAAAATTTATGCTTGTTCACCTTCTCTCCCTACAGAGAAGGGCAAGATGTTTTTTTACGTAAATATGTATTAGATTCAAATAATTTAAATAGATATTATTCCATAGAGAACATGATGCTGCATATGCCCATTTCAGCTCCATGTTACTAAAGAAACCACAAGATAATGATGTTGCCTTGCTCATCCTAAAGGACACTGAAAATATTTCTGGGTATTTCCAAAAGAAGAGAATTCCATGGGGAAAAAAAAAAAAAAAAAGGAAAAACTAAGGTGGCTCTTACAAAATAAGATAAGGTGAAGACAAGTTACTCACAGATCACAAATCAGTAAAACTCAGGAACAGGCCACAGCTGTTATAGCAAACATATACGTCATGTATGTGGAGCAGTCTTTACAGTATCAATACCAAGTCATTACTACCTTCAAATTTTACTTTTATTTTCCTTTAAATGGAGGAAGGGAAAAACAACCATTGTTTGCAAGAAGAAAACGAAGAATTTTTAGACAGAAGACTGACTATAAAAATTAATGTAGGAATGCTAAATGCAAGATGCCAAATATTAATTTAATGCGGTTTAATTTCTCAGTTATAGTCAGCTATAAGTGTTACTGTTTGAACAGAGCAGAGAGAGAGAACAGGGAAAACAATGTCCTTTTTTCTTAAAAAAAAAAAAAAAAAGACAGCTTTAAGCATTACTTTTAAGTGTGCACATCTCTGTGCTTTTCAGAAAAGACAAAGGAAGTTAATCAGTATGTTACCACAAATTGCATTTATAGTTAACAATTTAATTCAAAAGTGTGTACTTATTTAAAGTGAAGAAGACTGTCACTGGTCTTGAAGCATTTGGGCCACAGTCACTTATGTTACAATACAGTCTGACCTCTACTTGATTTTAAAATAGGATAATCACCTTCAACTATGTATGAACCTTGAACATTATCAAAAACAGTTTTATTGCATCAACGATTTATTAATAGTCTTATATTAATAGTAATGTAACTTTGATTTTACAAAGTCATAAAGATGATGAGAAACACAGTCAAGACTCACTGTGCTATCTATTTTATTTTAGGCTTAGAAGGCAACCTCATAATGCAGTCACCGGAACTATCCAGAGAGTAACAGCTATACAGGAGAAAACAACAGAATACACATGCATCATCCCACTTCAACAATGGAGTGGGAAAGATACAGACAGCATAACGAAGTTAAGATAAATACCAAAATCTTTTAAAAGCTGAAATTCTCCTCTAGCTTACCATGCCTGGAACTGGAAAACCGCTCACGCTGAGGCAGGTAACCTCTGGACAAGCACATTAACAACAACTGCTAGAATGAAAAAGCGTGAGCCCTAAGGAGTAGCACACTCAGCTAGATACCCCTTCCAAGTGAAGCACTGGCAAGGGGCCAAATCCTACAGGCTCGCATTCAAAACAAACCTGAACCAAGAAGGAAGTGTTTCTCCCAAACCTTTCTGGTTCAAAACACTTGCCGCCACAGCAGCCCTGCTATGTTCTTTGTGTTGCACGGTCACTTTTATAGCTGTTAGCCCCATTACAACACAGTTAGCAGTTTAAACAAAGAGCAACTAAGAAAGTACAATATTCTATAACTGGCATTTATAGCATCGGCCTTGGACTTCTAATCTTTACCAGACAGGCACACAAATCAATCTATCAGCTCATAAAGGTATGCTTTTTAACCTCTAGAACAGATGGGATTGGCCAGAAACGTCTGGCATGTCAAACTGCTAATCACTGCTGCCCTTTGCACAAAATAACCCACTTAAGTTGAGGCATGGTTGCACTGTAACAGACATTAGTCTGTGGGAAACCCATTTAACTGTCACATACTCCTGCCACTCCTGCTCTCCCTTAATTAAGCCTAATGCCTTATGCTTTGACCTTTTGTTCTAGCCTATTAACCCTATCTAGTACAAGTTCAAATATGTTAAACTTAAGTTTGCTATAAAATATTAAATGTCAAGCTACAGACAGAATACGGGATGTTTCTCCACCCTGCAAGTTACCAATCCCTTCACCAGATTTCCTATGATGACAGAATGGAAGCACCGTGCTAGTCCCCAAAGACAAAATATACCCAAATTAATCAGCTAATCAGTTCCACAGCAAAAACATGGAGTTTCTTCTACTTGCACAGTCTACTTTTTCCTCTTCAGAGGAAGAAAAAAAAAAAAAAGTAGTGAAACTGTTGCAATTTCATATCCTCAGGCTTTCCGGTTTTATCCGACATGAAAAGCACATACTATCAGCCAAGATCACACTGCACTCATTTGTTGTTCTCCAAAACCTATCATTAAAAATAAGACTTAATTGGTATACAGTGACCAATACCTCCTCAATTAAAGGCTGCCTCTGCCAACCTTGCTCCCACTGAGTCACCACTTTGTTCTTACTACTTAGATGAGAATTAAAAACTAACCGTAAGTGTATCTTCAAGTGAGTTAAAGTTTCTCAGACTTGCATAAACTTAAACAAGGACATAAGTTACACATTTTAGATCGCTGTACATTATTTTCCTTTGCTGTAAACTCAAGCTTAGCAGCACTGTCTTCCCCACTGGTATCTCTTACTTCATGAAGGTTACACAGCATCAGTCTTCCCCTCTTGTATCTCTCACTTCATGAAGGTTACACAGCATCAGTAAGATCAACAGTTACATTTGTAAAGCAGCACTCTTCTGGAGAAAGACCACCATAATGGTCCAGAACTTAAGAAGTCTAATTCCAGTGACAAAACCATGATCAAGACATAACTCTACTTGACTTCTCATTAAAACTATTTACAATGCTATGCAATTCACACTTGTGTATCAACACACGTATTCTACAATTTGTACTTACAACCAACAAACCAACCTGTTCTCCAACACCTCCCCCAGAAAAACAATACTTAGCATGTAACTGTTTTATAATATTGGTTAGAAATGGAAAAGAAGAATGCAAGCTGTATCAGGATTACCAGCCATGTATACACTGACAAACAAGCTTTCTTAAATCTTTAGCTTAACCACCTCACTAGTAAATTTAATACCTGGTGCAAGACCCTCATTTACAGCTTACACTTCTGCAACTCTGACTAAATAGAACTGCTTCTGAACAGAGGTGACAATCTTGAAACAAATCTTTGAAGCACTTTAACTATTTCTGAAGATATGAAAGATTTGAAAAGCCTGTTGCCACAAAAGCCACTGTCTACTAAATTCTGTTAAGGCTGTATAAGTGACCATCTACTACTGATCACAACAATTCTCAAGTTGTAAATACGTACTTAATTAACGATGCTTTAATTCCAAAGTGCCTATCTTACTGATTCTGAGACCAGCAAGTAACATCATTAACTTCCTGTACAATTACTCAGACAACTAAGAAGTACTACAGCAATGCTAGACATTTGTTTTTAATTTTTCAGGAGTCAGATACAAAACATCATTGAGAGGGCAAGGGAGAAGGAACAGATCCCTCATCTTAATTTCCAAAACACTGATTCTGAATAAACCCAAATCTCCTCAGTTTAAAAAGTGCCAATATTTTCTAATTATTTCACTTTGCTACATTCTATTATGTTGAAGATACTCAAACTGAAGTACAGAAATGCTATACAACACTATATTCAAATGAAGTCAAGCAACACATGGATTTATTAAAAAAAAAAAAAAAAGAGAGAGATTTATCCTTGCATCTGCAATCTGTGTCATTGCGACAGATATGGGAAAAGTTTTGCAGGCTGGGACTTGGTGTGACCGCCTCCAGCTTCTAGACCTTCCCTACTAATGCTCACAAAAGTTGCCACTGGAGGGAATGCAAATGAGTCCTAAGAGAGACCAGAAACAAAACAACAACTGTTTGTCAACCATTACACGCCCAAATTGTATTCTTTATGCTCATCAGGATTCTCAAGTTCTTAAGCATGCATGTAGGCCCACCGAGTACAGCGGGGCTACTCAAGTGGATAAAATTACTCACAAACCAAAGTGCATATACATAAGCAATCACTGGACAACACTTGGGGAATTACTGCCCAGTATCAAAGAAAAATAGGATTTAGGAAAGGGGACCAAGGGAGCAGATCCAAACAAAATGACAGCAGTGCTAAATGTCTACAAGCCACTGTAATGTAATATCTAATAATGATTATACTGTGACAGTCCCTTGCCGCAGAAGCTCAATTTGGATCTGTTTTATTAAAAAAGTAAAAGAGATTGTAACACAGTAAATTTTATTTAATCTTCTCTTTCATTCTGAAATTATATGTAAATCAAATTGTTCTCTATTTAGCAGCTACCTCCTAAACAAGTAGGCTAAATCTTCAGGGTTTATCAGCAAATTCCACACAAAAGGTTCAAATGCTACAAAAATACTTATTTCTCCTTGATCAGTACACTCTAAAAAAAAAAAAAAAAAACAAACAAAACAAAATTAAAATAAAAAAATTCTTACAGTAAAAGAGGTGGATTAGCTTGAAAATTTATCACTTAAAACGTAATACTAAAAGGCTTGTACATAGCAGCCTGTTGCCCAACAGATTTGGCAAGAAAAAGCAGCAACCCCAAACCAATGAGACAAGGTAAATAACCCAGACAAATTATTTACCTTGAAAGCTGTCGCATCGGGAAAGCTCTTCCTTCAGGAGTCCAAGGATGCATTAATTTTCTTCCTTAACAATTCCATGCTTGATCTGAAAAAAAACCAGCAGAAATTACCCTATGAAAGTCCACACATTAATTTTTCATATCCAGTATACTTGTACTTTCTTATTGTTGGTGCAACAGAAAGCAATGCTTAAATGGCTAGTAAGAACGCCAAATAACATTTCTATTCCAGAAGAAAAACATAACTCCAAACTTCAGAAATCAAAGCCTCTCAAACAAAACCATCAGTAATACAAGTAGAAACAAACTGCATTGTCTAGACTTGTATTGACTAAGTCAACAGGATTTCTGCAAGAACAAAATCCATGTTCAACCGATTCCAAGCCACTCTCTTCATTCAAAAACCAGCTGTGACACAAAAGCCCTCCTTCCTATGCAGTAATAACTGCTTAACACTTCAAACTTGCACCTACAAACGTCAAAATCATAAAGAGCCCCTATTCTTTTAGATATATATACACACAAGGAAAAGAGCACAGTGTAACTGGTGAATGCAATGCTAAACACCGCAAAATTAGTTAGAAAAAAAATAAACCAGTAGAAATCACAATATTTATTTTTGATATGTTTAGGAATTATATAGTACATAATATTACAGTTATGTTATTCATCACAAGTACCACCTGAAAAATTCTTCTCACCACTTCTCTACGATTACTAAGTTTTGCTAAAAGATGCAAACTTACAGCTAGCCCAGATCATTGTTATTTGCACTGCTTTTGCCTTGTTCTTGTGACAAGCCACACTATTAAAGAATATGTTAAATCTTGTGTCACCAAGTTACCACCCAAACAGCACATTTATTACACAGAGTCAAATATAACTACAATAAAAATACATTTAAAGAAAAACAAACACCCCCCCAAACAAATGATGCATTAAAAAACATATATGTGTATATACATACATATATATATACACACACACATATAACACACACTTTTTCTCCTGTTTTGGCTTAACTTTCCCCTTCTCACAGTTCGCATAGCGAGAGCTCTCTCCTCTTTTCCACACCTTTAGCTTCTGTTCTCACAAAACTTGCATACAAAAGCTTTTTAAATACAGAATTTCTTTAGCATAGAGGACCCCACTGGTAGCTCTGGGCCCACAGGGTGGAGAGAGGCAGAGTGGGAAGCATGTGCACTGTGGACAGCCTTCAGCATTTCCCCTTGCCACAAAACTACCTCGGCTAATGCCAGCTTAGAGAAAAAACACCTAACTCTGACCACTGCAATGTGTTACATTAGGGAGGAGCCAATAAGAAAATATAGTAAATTAAATAATTAAAAAGAAAACCAAACAAACAAACAAAACCCAAACCACCAACAGGTGTTGAGAGATGGGTGGTCATCCAAAAGAAGACCTATTCAAAGCTTTGAAGTACATGAAATAACAGAGGCATGCTTGACTACTGCCAGCATCAAGACCTAACACAAGCAATAGAGCTAATTAAGCTGAAAAAAAGTAGTCAATACTCTGAAATACTACATGTAGACAGTATTTCAAATCTTTCCCCTATGCACACCACAAAATAAACAGAACAGTAGCAACCCTCAACATTTGGATTCAATTAAGGGGAAAAAAAAGCTATCATTGCAGTCAAAACAAACATGGAAATGATACGTAATGAAAGTGGTAATAAACATAGTTCAAAGCCTTTCCAATCCCATTTCACTGAAAGTGCAAACAAGCTGGATGTGAAATCTTTTGTGACCAAAGGAAAAATGGGAGAAGAGGTCCCTCAGAGCAGAAGGAAGCAGCACTTAAAAATATATATTCACCTTTTCAAGTCACACTGATTTGAGAAAAAGTTAGTACCAGTATTTTTCTTCTATAGTATAGATGTAGACAAACTTTTTTTTCCTGATCATTGCCAAATGGCTTTATTTAAGTAGTTCTACTTTCAACAGAAGACAAATTTGTATTTAATGGGAGGAAAACACAACAAACACCTCACACTGTATTGCCACCAGGGTCCACTGTATAGACAGGACTTCCTTTAGGTCAGCATTAGACAGCCTTTCCTGCATTGTCCCAAATGCAGGTTTAAAGGTCTGCAAGAGTTCAGAATGAGAGACACAAAAGAATTTGTTATTTCTGGAGGATAATTCCATATTCCTTCACTAATATTTTAAAATGAAGGAAGAAAAAAAAAAAACAACACTTTCCTAGAACAATACTTTATTCCCCAAAACTTCACCTCACTTGCTTTGCACACCTTAATAGTTTTTTTGAATGCTGAATTTTATATATATTATAAACTGCTGCAAGTGGGATAGGTGATGACATGAACATCATCAACAGGACAATCTCCTGGGGCAAGAATGGTCATTTCTTTCTACCTCGGAGGCAAGCCTTCCTTTCTATATCACTGAAAAAAGCCTTTTCAGTTTCCTTTCCCACTCCATTTTCTCAGTGGGGTGGGGCACAGAGAAGTAGAAACTCCATAGCCATGAATCTTAAAAAGTTCACTGTGAAAATACCAGCATCTGAGCAGCAGTACAACCTAGCACTAAGAAGAACAAAAATACTGCTCTTGCAAGCAAGGAAAACTACTTGGACACATTTTACAGCAGAAATTCACTAAACTCCTTATTTGTTTTCAAATAACAATTTCAGTTGAGACCAAAACACATTTTACACCTAGCACTTCATCTCTCATTTCTCCCTTGTAATTTTCTTTCTCGACAGGGGGAAGAGCAGCCCGCCAGAAGTCTTCCCCCAAAACCCACTTTCTTTTCTACACTAAACTCAACCACTTAGAAACTGGTGACTAACAGAAGTTCTGTAACTTCTGCTTTTAATCTGATTTTGTCTATAAGCAAAATTGGTTTTCCTCTGCTGAAGACAGTGGTATTTAGAAATAAGTGTCATGAAAACAGAGTTTCTCTCAAGACAAGCAACTAAACAGGAGCAATGAACTCCAGTAACAGTTTAAGCATGAAAAGACTATGCCAGGAGGGGGCTGACCCAAACTATGATGGCTAGCAACAACTTCTTCCTCTTCCTACACATGAATGATTTATTTACAGGAGTCTTAGTTCCAATTCTCCTTCTTCAACTATCAAGCCAAGCAACCTGCAACAGACAGCAAATAAATTACCAAATTAATTCTTTCAAGCGCTAAATAGGCCTGTTAACATTTCTAAGTATTTGAAATAAATAATCCAGAAACACTAAAGCCCAGGCATTCATCTTTACCAAAAGAATTCTGCCTGCTTCTCCTCAGGCAGATCTTCCCACCAAAGAACGAAAGAAAGTTTTTACACAGCCACAGACATCCACCTGAAGTACTGCCTGCCACCCATACTGCCTTCTTTTCTAACTGCATTTTCAAATGCAGCTAGCAAAACCTTAACACCATAATAGCCAAAAGCAATGACACAAGCCTTTTAAATACTTGCCTCAATTTTCTTCACATTTGCAATAGGCAGGCCAACACAGTTCAGACAGTTACTGTTCTTATCATTTTGGCCTACTGGCAGGAAGAGTGAGCAAACCACAAACACTGCTGCCATTAACCTTTATGTCTTTAGTTTAAGACTGTTTAGACAGACTGTCAAGTTTATGTCTTTTATCTGTCTTACACATTTGTGCATATTCTTTCATACCTTTTCCTCCTGCTCAGTCTTCATTCCCTACCTACATTATCTTTTCACTTGCCTGTCATTAAACCCCTGCTGAGCAATAATGATTCATCCTTCAAAATTTGCACTTCTTTTCCCAAAAGGGTATTTATCCTTTTTTAATCCATAGGATAGTTACCCTATTTATCCCACCTATTGCTCATCATCCAGCATGTGTCACCCAGCAGCAAAGGGGCTTGTGCCCCCACAGCAGGCACCCAGCTGGGATCCCCACACTCTCCCCAGTCTGTGCTCTGGACTCCCTCTGCTCCCTGTACGTTCACATACAGGGGAAAAAAAAACCCAAACCACAAGCCACTTGGGTTTTGAGGTTCAGGCAAGTTCCAATGAATTATTCTAAACTGAACAAAATATTAGCCTTCACATCATCTCGGATAGCCCTACAAGGAGGTGTCAAGCTCAACCCTTGAGCAAGGCAGCTGACTGTGGGAAATGCAACTCCTTGGCTTTGCCTTGGGCAGGTTTATACATGTGCTCGGCACAACACAAAAAGAGTTTATCTTTTGATTTAGTAGTGTCCTGCAATGTCACTGGTAAAATTAACAGCGCTCTCAACACTAACAATAATACAGCTGGTATGACAGAAACCTTATGCCAATGTTCAAAGCCAGCAAAAGAAAGTTAGCTCTGAAAAGACAAAACAAGCTTTAAGCAAGCAAGCTGTTGTCAATTTTTAAGCCAATCCCATTAGGTTTTTAAGCAAAACCTACAGGTAAATATGATCGTTATAAACTTCATTCATGTTTGAGTTCTACAACATTTACTGAATCACTTAAAAAAAAAAAAAACAACCACAAAACAACAAAAACACATCTACCCTAAACACAGTTATCAAACACCGCAGGTGACACAGCCAACATTTGAATCACCCATTTGAGTTTACAATATAAAAACATTAGTTCACTTTTACTACTTTATCAACATAGTCTTTATGATCATAATAAATTTTGGTTAGTGCATCTCTCACTTCAGAAAAAGAAACAAGTATGGGGAGCAGAGAGGAAAAACGTGTTTCCACCTGGAAATTCCTACCCCAAGACTAAGCAAGGGGAAAAAATTAAAATCCTGCCAGTACAGTTTGGCATTTGACAGCATCTTGTACTTGGTGCAGGCATAGTTCTATGCAAATCTGAATGCTATTGACAGCTCTTGCTCATCAGGTAACTCGGCACTGTAGTCCAAGCTAAGAGGTCAGCTTTCACTCCTAGCTGGAACAGCCAGTCACTGCACATTAGTTCTTCCACCTCATTCCATAGAAGCAGCATTTCACTCACAACAAACTTGCTGCCTTGCTTTGAAGTCAACATCAATTCTATCTCAAGAGACCACTGATAAAATAACAAGTCAGACTTCTCAACCACAAGTTTAAGAAGACAGCA